GGGGGGGGGGTTGAGGCTTTGTTTTCGAGAAAATCGACTTTGAATTTTCGCTCGTTACGCGTGCGGTACGTTATAACGGATCTCACTGTAGATCGTTGTCTCGATGGAAAAATTAAAAAAAAATTTTTATTCTGTATTTTCGATTTCTTTTTTCGCGTAGAATCACCCCCTTTCCTCTTGTACCATCAGTTACCAACCACCCTGTATATTACAACACAATACTCTGCTATTCGATCAAATTTGAGTTACTCGATCGTGGTTAACACTTTGACTGCCACTCAGCGAAGTAGGAATACCATGGTGCAGATGTTCGAAATATTTCGTTACTCTTTTGAGAGAAATATTTGTTGCAAGATTAGCGATCGAAATATAAAGAAAAACGACAGGAAAATAAAAAAACCGAAACTGAACGAAGGATAGACTAGAAAAATAAATTGTAGAAATTGCATTGTTAATGGTAACGCGACTTTGACTATTCGAGTTTGTATTATTCTAGCCTGGTTGATCTTTTTGAAAGTTGAAAAATTGATTTACCTAAGTGTAAAAAGACGTAATTCTCTTTATGCGAAGCACAGAAACGTTTCGCGGTTATTTTTTGAATACGCGAGGTGTACGAGTTGAAGAAAATCCGTGTGGAAAATGAATCAGTTCGAAATAGAAAGCGACGGTGTCTTTTGTTAAGGCTTGTCATTCTTTTAATATATTCCAGTCTCTCTCCGCGTGTAAATTTCAAGGTGAACTGAGATTTGAAAGTGACTAATATTTTTTCGAAATAGAAACGAAAATTTAACAAAACGCGTTCTAACGTTAGGTGATCGATTTATGCATATTTCACGTTTCTTCAGAATCCTTCTATTCGTTCGTACAAAAGCGATTTATTACGAACGTTCCGACAGATATAAATATTTTTCATTTATTTTCAAAATGCTCCCGAACATTTTAATTCGATGCGATTCTTCGATGAAAATGTATCACCAGAGAGATTTAATGAAAATGCACTTGTTCGCAATGGAAAAAAGAAAAATAACGCTTTTCAGATACCGACGGAAATCGATAAAACAATGCGATATCGATTTGTAAATAATAATATTCTTGGTTAACAGGATCACGAAGCGAAATAAGTGTATAATAATATGATAATACGATAAAAATATAATACAATAGATAATTGTATAACAAATACAATTTTCAACGAGTTGAACTTCAAAATATATTAAATACCGTATTCAGAAGAACATTGTATTCGGTGTGCGTTCGCATGAAATTCAAATAGGTTACTATAAATCTGTTTGGCGATCGTGAACCTCGTGATATTTCTTGATTTATAATGTCACTGAACGTGTGTGAAATTCAGTCGCTCGAAACTATAAAAGTTTGAGAATAATGACACAAATAAATATTTCAGTGGAATTCTAAAAACTTTGCACATTTATTTTATTCGATAAAAAATCATTGCGACAACTTATCATTGAGTAAATAAATCAGAAAAGTTGTTACATCATCTGATAATAAACTATACATTATAGGAATAAAAGATATTAGAATTTTCCAAATGGCAATGAATCTTCCCAATATCAAAATAGATACAAGTTTTATAATTTTATAGTTTCATATATCTATATATCTGAATGCACCGAAAAAAGTGAAACTTCTCGTGTTTGAGTCAACAACGCGACGAAGTATCCCGAAGTAAAACGTTAACGAATAACCACGTCCTTGTTCACGATTCTTAGCCTCGAGTTTAAGTAAATATGAATACAAGTTCTGGCTTACTATCAGTTCCGGCGTATTTGCATCTTTCGTGCGTTTCTTTTATTCTTTTTCGTTTACGTTCCATAAAACGGTACTTAAGAACATTACGTCCACTTCGGTCACGTTAACATAATCTTACGAGCGTTTAACTACAGTGTTTTCTTACAAAATTAAATATCTCATCGAGAACATATCGCGCGTGAAAATTGGAAAAATAAATTCCTTCGTTGTAATTCTTCAATTCTTCGTTTAGCTCGTTAACAGGCTGTAAGCAATGTCGCCACGATTATTCAGAATTCGTGCTTAATCAACGAACTGAGGGATTTAATTAGCAACGCGGATCTTCTCTAGCAAACAATTTCTCTAAAAGTGGAATCTCTCTCGTTCGAGAAATCCGATGCCATCTCAGTCGAACGACGAACGATACTGCTGAACGTCGATGCATTTAACGAGATTTACCGATCCTCTGTGTGTTCCATTAATTACGACATCGACGAAGTATGGTCAGCTCACTTAGCAGTCTGCGAACGTTGTCAGAAATGTCGCTATCAGAGAGAATATTCGAACGTGATTCCTCATTAAACCAGGAACACTCTGATGGATAGTGATACGCGCACAACCGCACCCTGTTACGAGGTAAACGTGATCATCGTGCTCTTGAAAAATTCATGGAAATGTTTCAAAAATCTACTCCTATTATTTCGTACGTAAAAGGTTGCATCGAAGTACAACCTGTTTTTGCAGTTACAAAATCCAAAATGCAGTTGCAAATGTTGTTTAGTATCAGTTTGATATTACTTTAATAATATTGCATTTTTAACGTTTCACATCTTATCTCAAAAATCCACTCTTTCCATTACCTTGTAATAGAAAGCTAAAAATTTAAACCAAATATTCAGCCACTGTCCATGTTTTGATATCTGTTGAAATATAATTCTCATTTTCATGCACATAGAACCAGCCTAAAAATCTCCATTACAGTTTAACGCCACTTCACCCGCGCTATACAATTTCCACCTACCGTCGCACCGAAAGCATTTCTCTAGCTTATTAATTAAAGCTCGCATCGCTGGTCCTCGTTTGCACGATTGCAAGCTGAAATTACCTCATCTCGAATGACGCGAATTATCCAGAATTCTCCTCTGTAACATATATTTCATACGCCTTGATCGATTTCGAGATACGTTTATTATCGCGAGAAGCGTATAAAAGATTTTATTTCGGCCGCTATAAAGTGGCCAAAGAAATAGACTCGTCGATAAAAATATACCGATGGAGTTTTACCGGCGTGTTCATAAGCATTTATTCCGCACATGGCCTCGTGATGACTCTCAATGATTAACCGCTGTTACGCTATTTCTGGCAACGGTGCTTCGCGTTTTAGCTTTAATTGATTCTCGTTCATGGTTGCCAAGATACGGTCCTTAAAGTCTTCTCCTTCGATAGTCGAAGCTCCGACGACGAGGAATCGTTCGGATAAGGTTGGCGAATTTTCACACGGAATCGCTATAACGAGGACGAACGCAAGAAAAGATGGAAGGAAAGCAACAGGAGGAAGCATGCAACAGATGGAATTAAAATTAGATCTTCGTCAATTCTTCGCTTATATTGACGTTTAATAAAAATATTGCGGATGAAATAAGTAGAAGCTTTGAGGAGATCGAAGTGAAAAGAAGACGCAGGGGCATCGTGCTTGTAGAATTCAGTAGGAGTTATTTTCCAGTCGTAGAATCTGTTTACGACCATCGTAGAACCATAAAATGTTCTTCGAAATAACGAAATCCCGTGAAAGGTTGTATTTCATGAACTGGAAACGTAAAGGCTGTCTCGCGTCGCATCCAAAGGATAAAACGAGACGCGTGGCATATTATCAATGAACGATCTGGATGATGGTTTTGGAATTTGTAAAACACAGTTCCAGCTATTTCAGAGTTTATTAGCTGTTATTATTGGCTTGGAATTCGTCTTGGATCGTACGTTCAATTCGTTGCACACGAGGAAGCGACATCGGATTTTACAATGTCTGCAAAGTAATATAATAGAATTGTACATTCAGTGAATTCTGAAGTACGTACGAAATTAGGTACAGAGAGGACAATGGAGCCGCGGAAATCTACGCGCCATGATTTTTGAATAATAAGTTCTTCTACAAGCAGAGACTCGATCGCAACTGTGGAATCTGCTACTTTATAACTTTTGGATTATAAAATTCATCGACGGAGACGCCGGAATCATAAAATTTATATATTCTTATTTTTCTCTTTCTCCTCTAGTTCTTCCATAATTTCGAATCTTTCATATTCTTCGGTTTCTGCATCGCGTGATCGATGGAACCGTGCAATTTTCGTAATCCATGATTTTTGGTTACTGGTCTAGCAGACCAGAATTCTAATAAATAAATGCGATAGTAAATCGATACAATTAGCACGAAATCATTGCGAATTTTCCAATAAATCGTTACAAATGTATCGAAGCACATAATATGTTAGATGAGGTACCAGATCGGAAGATTCGCGTGATAGTCATTGCAATTATATGCACAATATGTTCCATGACTTGATCCCAAGCAAGGCAGCCTGTGACAGCATTACGTAACAGCACCGATGAATTTATGGTCGTGATGAGTTGCTCTATAAATTATTCATTTGCTACGCGACAACAGCATTTGAAAAGGGATATGTGTACGTATCGTGGAATA